TGCGCACTTGGGACGGCGTGTCGTGGATCTCCAGGGTCCACTCTCCTGCCGCCCGCTCCCCCCAGCAGTGGACGGTCATGAACTCCCATCCCTTGAACCCCTCGTTGGAGTGGTCGAACACCCTGCAACGGTAACGCCATGCATCAAGAAGCGTGACTTTGAAATTCTTCTTTAATCAGAAAAGGTAGATAGGTAATTAAGGATTTTAGGGATTCTCGCCCATACCCGCCCTTGCACGGAGCCCTCCTGCAGCCGAGACCCGAGCATGCCCCCCGCCTTCCCAAAAAATCCGAGAAAACTTGCAGCAACCCCCTAAACGAGGACGCTGCCCAGCCCAGCCGTGCGCTGCCCCAGCCGCTCTTACCTCCTGGCAAGGAGCTGCGACCTGGTCCCCGCCGGAGAGACGAGACTGATCTGGAGGTCGCCCCGGCGCGGGTGCGAGATGCTGAGCCGCACCACGACGTGCTCCAGGTAGAGCACGTGCTGGTCGCGGTGCTCGGCGCAGGCGCTGCTGAGGGTGCTGGCGCGCAGCACGTGGTCCGCACGGATGTACCTGCCGGGGACGGGCAGAGCCTCGCACTGGGGGACGGCAGCGCTCCCCAGTTCCCAGCACCATGGGCACCCAGTTATATTTCAACCTGGTCTCCTACTGCTTCACGACAAAAATTCTCTCACCCTCCATTGCAACACAGCGTCCTAGCACGGGGGTTTGCTGAATTGCTCGACGGTAACAAGATGGGTTTGAACTGCCTCCAAGATCTATGCCTTATGGGCTGCAAGGGCGCTGCTTTATTGTAATTATCAGTGCAGCGTTCCTCTTTGGGTTGTAATTAGTGTCTGTATCAGATAAATAGTTTCATGAACACACTTGGCTCCAAATTAATTCCTCTTTGCATACGCAAGTCTTTCTGAAGGAACTGTTTTCTGATGAACAACTTGACTTGCTCTACAGCCAGGCAGCAGTAAACCAGGAGGGTCCATTTGGTCAGATCCCTGATCCCCCCCTTTAACCTAGCAGGGACAGACCTACCAAGGACAAGATGTGAACCTAAGCTGGTTTGAACCTAAGACAAATTCAGAGAGACTTTGTTCAGGGTCTGGGTACTGGAAAATTCGGAATCCTTGCAACAAAGCTATGGGGTTTGGTGTCTTTCATCAAGACAAGGTATTTGGTGGAAGGGGGAGGAGAGCTCAAAACATCACTGCTCATGTAGGACCTAGTGGACAAGTTGGTCTTGGTCTCCCTAAGCCATTTCCAAAATGGCAAATGGCACCATCAGCCCTCAGAAATTCCCTATTGATCACCCACCTGGGAAGCAAAAGCACAGAAAGGGCAAAAATAAATCACCCGCCATCAAAGCTGGCCCTGGATTGCCCCTGCAGGACCTGCTCCGAGCTGAGCCATAGGCACAGACCCCGGGTGGGCACTTCTGGCCCAGTAAACAGACCTCGGGGCAGACGGTGCGAGTCACTCTGACCATAAAATCCATGAACATCACCTTGCCTGCACATGGGTTTGTCCCGGCCACCCCAGCTCCTAATTTCCCTTTCCAAACGCTGGGACAGTGGCCGAGCCTTTGCATCGCAAGAGCCAGCTCCCCCAAAGTGCCTTCCAAGTGGCCGCATGCCCCCGCAGAGACCCCCACCCCATGACACTCACTTGGGCACCCTGTCCAGGCTTCCCACGCAGACGTGCTGGGGAGGAACTGCCTTCCACTTCTTGGCTTCCACCACTATAGCGTCTGCATCCACCAGACCAAAGCCATATAGATGGCTAACTGGAAAGAGAGAAGACTCAGAAACCCACTGCCTTCCAAGCAGGGACCAGTAGCTCCTCCTTGGCTCTTGGCAGAGCATCCTCTGACCATTGGAGAAGGTGTGGAGCTGAACCCGTTGGGGTTCAAGGCGCTCTGACATGTGGAGCTCATCACCCTGCCCGAGTTACACCCCAAATCCATGTTGGCACCATAGAAAACCCATTGCTGGGAGCAGCTCACCAAAAGGAGCAGCCACCACTGCAGCTCAGGACAGCCGCACCAAGAAGGCTTCCAAGCCTCCACCAGGGAAGGCTTGCAAGTCTTCACCAAGCAAGGCTTCCAAGCACCTCACCCCATGAACCACTGCCCTCTCCTCCCTCCACCCACCAGCCTGATGGCAGAAGCACCCGAGCCAGCTGGGAGCGGCCATGAGGGCGAACATTCCCACAAGCGAAGCTCCGGGGACCTTTATTTACCCTTTCGTGGCCATTTTTGCCATGCCACCGCCGCCCCCGCGGCCCCTCACCTTTATGCCCCGCGCCGTTGGTCTTCCAGTCAGCCGCTCGCAGGTGCACCGGCCGCGAGGTTTTGACCAGCAGATGCTGGACATCCCTCCAGGTGAGCAGGGGGCTGCAACAACACTTGGCTCATGGGGCGGCTCTGCTGCCTTCCATCTCCCCAGCAGCAGCAGGGACCCCCACTGGGTAAAAAGACCCCCCAAAACCTCTTTCCAGCTCCAAAAGAGCATGAATCAATGACTTAAATGATAACACCCTGCCTGGAGGCCGGCCAGCAGAGGGGGTTGCCCCAGGGAAGGATGCCACGTGCCCACGGGCATTGCAGGATTTATTCCTGGCCCAGGGTGTTCAGCTCTCACACTCTGGGGTACAAGAGGAGCAAATCAGGAAGGTTTTCCTTTTTTTCTTGTAGGAGATCAGGAGCGAAGCACATCCCGAGGCAGGGTGCTCGCCAGCTCGCCGATACACGCTGCTGAGCAAACCTTCCCTTCATAGGAATAATGGCAAAAATTGCTGGAAGAAAACCTGGGCTGCTCATTTAACAGAAAAATGAAACCCCAGTGTTTCCAACAACCCCCAGGCAGGGTTTGTATGATGTTTGTGCGTTCAGGGTGCTGGACACTAAGCGCTGTGTGCTTTTGAGCCCCCCACAAGACTCAAGGAAGAATTGTTTGTGTCTTTCTTATATTCAGTTCTTCACCATCTTGCATTGGGATTTATATTGCTCTCGAGCAACATTTAAGAACAGAAATTCAATTTATTCCTTCTTGTCATAATGGAGTGCCTGAACACCAAGCCCTGGTACTTAATGTTGCATTTTATGCCTCAGCTAAACAATACAAAAATTACATCTAACGCTCTTAATATATTTGTAATGAAAACAGCATCTCCAGAAACGCGCTCACCCGACCTGGGCGCTGGGATTAAACGGGAGGAGAGCGACTGGAGCCAACACACTGCGACAGCCAACCCCGGACGTGAACACAACATCACCCTGTGGCTTATTTGTAGCCTTATTTCTATTTCAATCCCATTAAAAAAATAATAATAGTGAGAAGCTCATGAGAAGAGGTTCCATGGAGCAACATGGGGATCCCCAAGGGATCCCCAAGGGGTGAGCCTGGTCCCCTGCGGGGCTGCTCCTGGGCTGGGGGACCACGATGGGGCTGGGATGGGATCAGGATGGGACTGGGATGGGGACAAGAGGCAAAGAGCAGCTCTTTAGAACTGGGAAGTGTGTCGCTGGTGGTCATACCACGTGGGTTTTTGACATTATGCAAAAGTAGTCCTTTTCCCCCAGAAATGAAGCACTAGCTGAAAACCATCACTTCCACAGACATTTTCCATTTTCCATGATGTTTTCTGACATTTTTTTTCCAGGAAGTATTTATAAAGCTCCTTGTTGGAGCTGGCTGTCAGCGGTTTCAACGCATCAAATGAAAAGCCTGACTTATCTCGCCAACCCCAACTTTTGAACAGATGTCAACAAGTGAAGAATTAGCTCAATAAAACACCTGCAGGAAGATTAGATGCAAAACAACAACGCTGTATCAAACCTTGCCAAAAAGGAGCAATTTAGAATAACTTTGCCCCATTTTGAGTCGCTCCAGAGGAAAAAAAACAAAAAACCAAAAAATACTCTTTTTCTTTCTGGCTTTGCCTGCCAGCTACTAAATTTGGAAACATCCCCTCGCAAGCCGGCGGGGGGATGTTACTTACTTTGCCTCCAAAGCCAAGGCGATGACGCCCGCGACCATGGGGGCGGACACGGAGGTGCCGGTGTGGCCGTCGGTGCAGCGGTGCCGGAGGTCCGTGGTGACCTGTAGAGAGAGGAGCTGCAGCCCCGTGCTGCCGGAGATGCTCCCGGCGCCGGTGTTACCCTGTCGAGCACCCCTGGGTGCCTGGGATGCTGCCAGCAGCGAGCTGAGCCTGCGGGTACCTGAACCTGCTGCGGCTCCCACGCCGCTGGGGTGCTCTGGGCCCCAAAAAATGGGCTGCAGATACATTTGGCATATGAGAAAACACTCCTGCTTATATTTTCCTTTCCTCAAAGGTGCAAAAAATATCTGAAAGGGGGGAAAAAAGGCAATTTTGCTGTGGGTCAACTGGAGGAAAAGCCATGGATGAAGTGGTGTGAGCAGGGCAGGGCTGGTGTGGGTATGCGCCCCTGGGTGCATGTTGAGCTGTGCCATATTAAACACTTTCCTCAAAAGCTCCAGTTCCTGGTGTCAGGCAAGAATTTCTATTTGCATGGGGAAAAAATAAAAAAAAAAGCCATTTCCAGCTTTTTCATTTCAGGGCGGAGCACGATGCTTGGGTACCAAAAGCTCGGAGAGAGCAGGTAGGCAAAGAGGTGCTCTGCCGGTTACGTTTTTGAAAAGCTCCTAGGTTTTGCATTAATCTGGTAATTTTTTGAGAGGGGACACACACACGCCACCCAGTTTCTCCCCGAGATGCCCCTGGAAGCTGCTTTTTTGCCCAGTGATGCTCCAGCCTGAGCCATGTAAATGCTCCTTAGGACCATGAAAATCACCCCAGCGAGGCACTTGGATTCTGGCACTTAATCTCCTAGGGACCAAACAAATCACTCCTGGATTTAAAAAAAAAAAAAAAAAAAAAAAAAGCAACTTGTATAGACCCCGTATTTTTTGTCAAAAATCTGATTTGGGTGGAAAACTCCCTCCCAGCTCGGGTAAGGCACCGTGCCGGTGGGGGATGTTTTACTGCCCGAGGTTCGGATGATGAACGGGGATGTCGGTGACAAAAGATGAGATGAGACTACAGCAGCTCTTGTGACAGGGCAAATCCAGCCTGGGCAGCAGGGAAACCGGACTGATCCACGCGTGCACACGCTTTCAGGCCATTCCTGGGGTCTCTGGTCCCCGTTTGGCTTTGCCACATCCCTGCCAATCACCTCCGTCCTCCCACCTTTTACTCTGTTCCAGGCTAAAAATCCTCAAAATTCCCTTTTTGTAAGCACAGGACAGCGAGCAGGCACTTTGGGGGACAGGTAAATATTTGCACGGGTATTTTTGCAATCCTCCAGCCCTTTCACCCATTTACCAGGGAAAATGCCACATCCCTGAGCTCTTCCCAAGGACCACAGCAATTTTGACCCCACCATAAAAAAGCACGAGCGAAACCCACTGGAGGGCTAACAGCAAAGCCTGGCTCTTTTAAACCTGAGCCGTCATCCAGCCTGGCCATGGAGAAAACATCCAGGGGATGCTGCCCCACGCGATGTCGGGGTAAAACTTACTATTTTCCGCTCATAAAAAGCCCCGCTGCTGTAGGTGGTGGCGAGGGTGGAGGCGCATTCCTCCAGGTACCAGGGCTTGTAGCCGTTCTCGGTGGTGCTGCTGATGGAGATGGTGTAGATGCTGTTGGTGTAGCCGTCGCAGGAGCAGTAATCGCCCTCTCTGCCG